TATTATTTTCAAGAAAATGTATCGAAAGATATTCCATACTTGAATCATTTTGTGTGCTTGTAAATCAGTTTAAGAGGACACAAAGAATTTTCCTGGTATAGTAGAATCAATATTAGAACTTATATTTTACCAAACTGGATTTATCTTTTTAGCATGTTCCCTCTGACTCTCTCAACACATTGGTTAGATCTGATACAAAGAAACTTCAAACTAATACCTTTATATAGTAATCTCAAACTAATACGTGGTATTAAAGAATGAGGTTTTCCAATAATTCATCATTAGAATAAAACAAGTGTGTCATACCTCATACATAAAATTAATAATTAAATTTTTAAGAGATGATGCCTGGTACTAGATAGAGACATATGTAGCAGAGTATGAAGATATTTTCACAATCGTATGGGGACTGGAAAAAAAGAAAAAGCCTAGGGAAAAAAAGGGTTGCATGATCCTTGAACTGCCTTTATGGTTTAAACTAAAAAAAAAATGTAATCTTAAAAATGAAAAACACAGATTTTACCACATGACAGGAGGCCTAATATTTGCATAATCTTTCTTTACTAAACATCTCCAGCAGCACAGATCATTCAAAAGTTTTAACTAATCAGAATCAAGAAACGTTTCTACGTATGTCTCTGTGGTGCCTGTCTCTTCCTCTTTCTTTGCTGCTCTAGCTAGAGTATAGGTATAGTATTAGAGTATTGATTCTCTTACATTTTACCTGATGATCTGGATTTACTTTGCTCATTACTACCGGTTATCCCTTATTACTATTCTATCACTGTTTGCCCCCTCTGTTCCCTGTCCGGCTACATCTCTCCTGTCTAACTATCCCTGCCTGTCCGGGCGGGTGGCCTGGCTTTCTCGCGGGAGGGTAGTCGCCGGTATCGCTCCACACGCGGCTTGTTTTTCCTGCACGGTGGGAGGGTGGTCAGGTGGTGGGGATCACGGGTGTTTTACCCGCCGCTCACACGGACTGTGGAAGTAGTTCCCGGTGGGGGCTCGTGCACGGCGGCCATCTTTTTCCAAATTTCAGACGGTCTGCCAGCGCTAATACTGCCGGAACTGAGATACCCTGTATTGACTCCAGGGACTCCCTCCTCACAGGCATTGTGCTGCCCCACTGTGTATCCTTACCAACAAGTAAGGACTTGATAAAGTATTTACATTGTTTGTGCCATCTGCTAAGCATATCTAAAATACTGACAGTTAAGCTTTCATGTGCCTAACCCTACTGCCTGCACTGCCACTACATACCCAGGGGTGGACCCTGTAGTACTATCTGGGTGAGCCTTTAGTAAAGGTGGCTAGAATATTACCGGTACCATAACCCTTTCTGGGTACCCGACAGGCGGATCTATCCCGACGGTGCAGGGATAAGTCATAAAATTCACTCCCACCCCTCTCCAATCGCGACCACCATCCCCATGCGGATTTATGAAGCTCAGAAACTCCTCATAGACGCAGAGATATGAGCTCTATTCTCCAAAGGCGCGGTCCAGATGGTCCCAAAGACTAACATCTTCCTGGTACAAAAGAAGACAGGCAAATTCAGACAACTCACCAACCTCCGACATTTGAACGCATACGTGATCTACCACCACTTCAAGATGGAGGGCATCCACCTACTCAAGGACGATTGGTTCACTCATCTGGATCTCAAGGATGCTTACCTCAGTTCCCATCACACCCTCCTGCCGACGATTCCTGCGTTTCCGCATGCCAGTTCACAATGAGCTTGGCACCTTAGTGTTTCACAAAACCACTGAAGCCAGTCATGGCGCATCTGCGCGCAATGGGTGTCCGGTGTCTAATTTACCTAGATGATATACTGATCTTCTGGGAGATTTATTGTGGACTTTCTGGAATCCCTGGGTTTTGTTGTGAATCAAGAGAAATTGTCCCTCACGCCATCGCAGAAGGTTCAGTTCTTGGGATTCAAAATCGACTTCACGATGTACCTACCGATGTCAAAGATTGCTTCCATCTGAAAAGAGATATGGAAAATGATACGGCTGGACCTCATCCCACTTAGACTCCTATCCCAGGTCTGCTCTCCGATTCCATTCACATGATATACCCAGGACCTCTCCATTACAGAGTCATGCAACGGCTCAAAGCACACTTTCTGCGAGCAGGATACTTGTACGATCAGGTGATACCAGTCAACGCAGAAGTGCGCACCAAATTTAGGTGGTGACTCCTCCATATGCAAGCCTGGAATGGGAAAGCCATCTTTGGTCCCTCACTAGACTTCGTGGTAGAATCGGATGCCAGCTGGGGTGCACTGTGCAGACTTTTCCACGGGGGCCCATGGTTTCACAAAGAATTGGAGACACACAAACTGCTTGTAACGGATAGCGGGCTCCTTTTCCATCAGGAGCTTGGCCAAGCACGTCGAATTGCTGTATTATACTGCGCATGGACAACGTGCCAACGATACAATATCTCAATCGTCTGGGAAGGGCCTTTCAGAGGCGACCAAAGACATCTACAATTTTTGCCTGGCCAAGAACATCCCACTCCTGTTATGTGGTAAAATTGTAGAGTGTACCTATAATCTTAATTTTAGTAATGACAGGAGGCGATTATTTTCCTCCCCTGAAAAAACAACACCCCTTGATCCAGAATGAACTAGGTCAAGGATGAAGAGACTGGTTATAGAGGTATTAAAGGGCCTAACCCTAGGGAAGAAACAACGAGAAGAAAAATAAATGGAAACTGGAGAGGAGAGAGGACCCTTGCTAGCAAGGGACAACAACCACCTCCCCAGTACTACCTCATATATTAAACTATAGAATAACTTGCACATAATGATCAAATTTTATTAATAATCAAAAAAAGAGAGAGAAAAGCATAAAAAAACACTAAGAATAGCATAAAGATCAGTGGAAGACCACCTAGTGGGTCTTAGAAGTGAAAAGGAAATTGAAAAGACTGCTAGACCAACTGCTCAAGTGGAAACAAAAATATTCACCATGAAGGAGCATCACCTTGTATATAGATATGATAGTGATGCATATTATGGGAATATAGTCCCAAATAGATTAAATCTAGAGCACTAAGTTATAGGACTAGAAAATGTTGCAATTCTGTAGCTGTATACTGTTGCAATCTAAACAGTCACCTGTGGAATATCTATAGATCATAATGTTAGAAAACCAGAAACTGTTGCGATTCGTGTTTAGTCACTAGAACAGTATACCACAATGCAAAATCTCCTGGAAAAATGCCAGAAGAGAAAATCCAATTTAGGCAGAAGATTCAAATGACCTCTATGGGGAACATTATTAAATATACAGTATAAAGCCCCACCTTCCCTATGAGACACTAGAAAGGAGACTAGGGTGTACCGAGTGTTAAATCGTATATCGGACTGATCCCATAGTCCCCTACAATTAAGGAACCAAATAACTAACGATGGAATCCTACAGTGTCTCTTGTCCAAAAACCTACTAGTAATAGCCAGGAAAAAAATACAGCCATTCTTAGCCAGTGTGGTGGCAACATAAAGGTGTATTTAGTAATAGTTGTCACACATAAGGGAGCTAATTCCCTCAATCCCGCTACAATAGTTGTCACACATAAGGGAGCTAAATCTCTAAATCCCGCTACAATGTTTTAATAATCTGAATTTCATGTGATGGATCAGAACACAATAGTCTAAGTTGGTGAAGTGAAATGAGAAAAAATATATACATAAAACTATTTTTTAGAAATAGAAAAAAGAAAATTGGCATGTGCGTATGTATTCACTCCCTTTGTTATGAAGCCCATAAAAAGCTCTGGTGCAACCAATTACCTTCAGAAGTCACATAATTAGTGAAATGATGTCCACCTGTGT